AATTCCAGATGTCGATGCAGCTGTTCATCCTCCTACTAATTACAGCGTCGGTTGTTGTTTCAGGAACAGTAGAAATGGTAAGTTTCAATTTTCTACATCGGAATATTGTTTTGTGAAAACCTTCAAGATCCTTTGACAAAGGTCAGTCAAGGTTCGAGGAGTGTTGTAGCAAACCGATGAAACTGGAGGTTAAGATTTTGAGGCAAAAATTTTGTGCATCTTTGGCATCCCTTGCTGGCATCTCCGTGAATGAGTTGAGTGCCAAATGAACAAATGAAAATAATCTTCCTCTCCCCGATAAATTTCGAGGTTGCTTGAAAGAATAGCGGAAGAGATTCCCTCATATGTACTGATTTCTTGTCCTTGATTTTTCTTTTGAATTTATTTGAATTACGTAAGTATATGATAGTGTCTCCGAAAAATGTTATTGTTGATTTCAGAAGTATGAGAGAGCGGGTGTGAGCACGACATCCAATGAAGCAGCTCCGTCTGAACCTATGCGACGCTTCGGCGGACCACCTTCTCCTCATGCCGGATGGAGAAAAAATTCTATCTGGGGCTCGAAAAACTGATATACTACTTGTAGGACCCTTATAACCACTTCTGTGGGATTTCTTCTCTGAGTAGTGGAATAAAGTATAAATATGTAAATGTCTGCTTTAACGGTTTGACCCAAATTCAGGACTCCAAACTACACTCAATCTTTGCTGTTCCACCAAACACAGAGCATCACCTTTCTGCCGTGTAGATCCGGTTTCGGAGTGGGGTTTGGAGTGTCACCGGCGTCTAACCACTGTCTTTTTCGTGTTGTGTTGTCGAAGCAGATCCATTTCCCGTCTGATGTAATAATAGAGTTGAAAAAACCGCTGTTCCTGGAGCGATGGAGAAGAATTTCGGCCATCGCCGCTTGTGTTGCCTGGTTTGCGTCGATTAGCTGGTGCAGTATCCATTTTTCGCACCTGCTCTTCTCGCCAATTGCGAACAAATGCTCGTGGATGGTAGAATTTGAGCCGCCAACATGTGTTGGCGGTTCTCGGGTGGTCTGGTGTGGATCCAATTTAAAGACGATCTTCAGCACTTGGTTGTCGACGAATTGAGACCGACTTCCATGTTCTTCATTCTCCAAGCTTTCATTACCGCTTTTGAAACGCCGATACCATCGTCGACACTAGCTTTCGGACAGGGCTTCTTCGCCGTGTACTTCAGGTGTGGCACGATGAGATTCAGCGGCCGATTTTCCTTGCTTGAAGTTGTACCACATGCAAGCCCGCAAAAGGCATTTCTGGTCAATCACCTTTTAAACTTTTTCTCAGAAAAATGAAGTAGGCATAGCCAGAAGTATATCAAGAGATGCGCAATGAAATCTCTTTCAATAGACAAAACTGTTTTCAAAAATCTTCTATAGTAGGGGAGAAATGAATGGACAAATTCGACGCGCATTCCTTTCCGAACATCTAATATTATCTGCCACTTGAGGTGGCGCCATATAGGCTTGTCATCAGCGGGTTGGAGATCTCTCATTGAGATAAAACTTTCAGTGAAGGAGATGCTTGAAACAAATACTAGAGCAAGATAAATTTCACTGACAAACGCTCATTGCTATAGCTGCCCAAGAAGCAATACACTCATCTTCGCTACAAACCCAACCAGTACATTGACAGCTTTCGTTAGTTGTGCACGGATCTCCTATATCTTAAATGGTGTGAGAGAGCTTGGCTACTCTGAAATAAACTTTTAAGTCAATTTGTCAAGAAAGGGAATTTCATCACAATGCGCTCTTCTCATTCGGGATTGTATTTGCATACCACTGCTGTCCACGCATTCCAACAAGATATAACTGCACAACCAATTTTGTTGCTCGACTGCCAGGCCAACTGGAATGTTACGTAAAAAAACCTAACATTTATCCGTTAACGCTGCAAAAGGTTAACGTCCTGCTCCCACCTGGCTACATTCACTTGAACCGTCGTGAAAATTTCGTTACTGAAAACGTTGTTCTGAAACACATCATTTTTATATAGTTCGCTGAACCATGCGTCGACCCCCTGAGATGAGACTGATCCGGTTCCATGGAGAAGATGAACTGTGCTTTTCTAACCACTGCTGCAGCCTTTGTATTGTTAGTAGTCAACGATAGTGCATGCATGTTACTCTCCCAGCGATTTTTGGGTTCAGAGCGAGAGGCATCAAAGAGCATCCTCCGAATTCTGCAGAATTCTGTAGACAATATATTTCATTTCACGGCATAATCTCATTTGATTGCCCACATTTTCACCCACTTCATATACGACGCAGGAAAAAGTGGCTCTGGGCAAGGACACGTGGCGGTGGTGGGCAGCTAGGAAATCACGTGGGGCATTTTTGAAAATGGCGCGCAAACAATGTTGCGCCCCAATGCCAAAGAATGCACTAGCAACGAAACTTGCTATGATTATAACCAAAAGGCATTCAACTCCATTTAAAGTATCCAGGGGATTGTGAAGTACTATTACGATCCAGAACTATACAAAAGCTAGACCGTCACGTTGTTCAGGTTCCATTGATGATTCGCCAATGCTTTGAAGACGGCTGAGCGTGGTTTAAATTGAAAAATAGCGAAGTTCAGTTACTCGCTAGTCACAGTGAATCGTATGCCAACTCTTAAGAAATAGCACTTCTTTAGTGCTTGCGAAGTGCATGCCTAAGTTCAAGAAAAGAAGCTATTTCATCGCCCAAAACCCCGTAAGCACTGTTTTTACCAAGAGCATACGTTTTCCTGCTTTTCCAAGTAGAATTTTTGTTTGCACGTTCTTCGCAGCTTGGTTGCCCACACACGCAATGCCCAGTTTTATGCTCTACCCTATTAAGTTTTCCTGTGAATGGGACATCACGAACCGTAACCGTAAGTTACCGTAGCTCTCTATAGATCTCACCGCGTCTACTGGTTTCCATAGAAATACCCTAAAATTCCGATTTTAATGGATCGCTATTTTTCTATATGAATTGTTTATTAAGTGGGCGGGGTTTGGAGTTAAGAGGCGGAACTTCTTCTTAACTTCTTCTTCGAAGTTTAATTTATCCATCCTTCAAGTTGGAGGGTGACTGCATTCAATTTCAATTTCATTCCAATTCATTTTTCACCGGTAGTTTCAACCGCTCTTATCTATGGAATTTTAGGGTAGTTGAATTACTGTCCACTTGGCTATGACCTCAAGTAACACCTACAATTACAGGGGTTCTCGTATGAATGATCTCGCTTTATTCTTCTCACCTTGCCTACAATCCCAACTCCTAAAAATGTAAAATTGTCATCAACAGAAACGTTAGGGCCCTGTCAGGAGTTGCGTGTAACCTTTGCGAAGTATAAAGTGTTCAACACTCGAGAAAGATCCACTCTTTCGTCAGTTACTCTGAATCTTACCAATTTTCAGATTCCTGTCAAATTCATCCATGCCTATTCTGGATCGACCGAATTCGGATCGCTCAACTAACGCCGGGCTCTCCTCCTTTTCGTGTATAATATGTATGTCGCCCACGTCCCTTCCAAATTCGGATGCTCTGGTACCGTAGAACGGGTATAAATTCCTGACCGGGCACCTCTTACACACACTCACACTTCGTGAGCCCGTTATAAGCGAAACTCCGCTTAACTCATGTATGTCCGGGTTTCTCTGCTCATTCTCTCCCGACTGCACAATTTGCTCAGCTTACGCTTTTCACACACGCTCCGTGCCCTACAAGCTCCAATGGCCCCCGCTGACGAAGTTCAGTTCAGTCTCTTTCCACTACCTCCTATCAGTGTCAGGCCTACGGACTACTTGAACTCGGTTCCTTTAAATTTGCCGGATGCGTCATTTTTCTGCCCTCGTCTGGCGCACTCCCGTTTGATGTGGTCTTTGCGTGTTGTGNTCGCCTGTCCAATGGGGCCTCCACCACCACCGCCGTAGGCTTCACCCGGGGTGTTTTTCTCTGAGCTCTAGCCTCTTGCCGTCAGAGATGCAGAGAAAGTTCAAGTAGTCACGTAACCTAACTTTCACGCACACTTCGCTCTAGGAGGTGGAGTCTAGTTCTGAGACCCATTATAAGTGTTGTACTACTGCCAAATTTGAACGCTTTATTTCGCTCACGCTACACCTTCTCTGAGCGAAGTCTATTTCAGCCACCCACTACAAACTTTCTCGTCTCGCCCTGTTCTCCCACCAAATTGAACTATCTAGATCCACGGGAAAGGAGTTAGGAATTTCCGGTCGAACACACATACATACATACATGAACACACACCTACACACATAAACACATACACACACCTAGCGCATTATATGTTGTAGGATATCAACAGCTGACTTTTTTCAGAGTATCAATACTGACATGTCTGACTCTTAACTCTACGGGTCACCATCGTAGTGCTCTCAAAATTAGCAACTACAATGACTTCATCCATTCTTCCGGAACATCCTCTTAGTTTGCAAAGAGTTGTATATCACCTGACAGAGCACAAGTGTCCTTTGAATTTACGCCGGAAAACCCTGACGCTTCAGGAAACAATGAAACAGTTCTCATTGAATAAATTATCAACGCAAACCTCGTTCAAAGCGAGGCAGAACGAGCTTTCAATCAACCACATATAAACAATAAATTAAAACGGAACAGATAATTCCAATAAAAAAATACAAATGAATAAATAAATCTCGACAAACCGAATCAGCGGTTTCCAAATTTGTGGGGCAAGGAAAAACGCAACACATTCACCGCTTTGAAGAATTGAAAAGGCTACACAGCCTACTGAATCCACGTATAATGAAAAAAAAAACAATAGAAACATCTAACAAAAAAAACGCAATGCTACGTAAAAAAGTAAGTCCCTTGAAAAAAATTAGAGATCACTCAAAAATAGAACACGCTTATTATTACTTGTAAAGTGCCACTCATGAAAGACCCTTCTCAGTAAGGATTCGCGCTGTTTTTGTTCTTCTTCTCCTTTTTCTCCTTAACTTTCTCAGAAATGTTCTTTGCATCTTCCTTTGCTGCCTTCTTCCTTTCAATTTTGCCTCCCTCAGGCCTGAAATTTTCTTAGCATGATAACGCGAGATCACGCCTGACCAGACCGTGCACATTTTTCCACAAGTAAGTAACAGTGCAATGAAAACCTTATACCATCGTACCTCAGGTCAACCGTCTTCACAACTATCTTTCCATCTTCCCCTCCCGTAACCAAAACACGATTGTTGAAGGCGGCACTCCGTACAATATCTGTATGACCCTTCCATTCCATAACAACTTCCGAATGTTTGCCATCCTTCGAAACTGTGCGGACATAAAGCTAAAATGTAATTGATTTGACTACTTGCCGAAGAACTGCTATAATATTGGGTCGTTCGGAAAGTGGTTGGGATTTCTGAGCCTTTTTTCCCTAATAAATGAAATTCAACCAGTGTTATATGTACTACTACATACAACGCACTAAGGCGGAGGTGGTGTAGTGGCGAGTGGCGCACTGTCGCACATGCATGGTAACAGGTTCAAATCTCGAATCGATATCCGCCTCGAATAACCAAGCCTCCAATCCCTCCGGAGTTGGTTGTTTGGTACCAGACTCACTGAGGGGAAGAATGCACCGACTCGTACATCGACTTACCAGCTCAAGTCATTGTATTGGCCACATACGCCTTCATTTCGCTACATTACTCTGAGTGGAAGTTACATTTGAGGGCGCATCCCTAGGATGGAAATCATCACGCCCAAAAATTTTACCTTTTTATCCTTTATATAATGCGTACGTGTATGCGTGTGTGCGACCGGAAATTCATAACTTAAACTGTTCCCCTGGGCTTATTGTAAGGTTCACTGTCGCCGTTTGGCACTCGGTGTTCAGATTTAAAATGACCCTGAAATTACGAATGGGAATGAAATTTGTTCACTTTTTCTCAAGAAGAAAGAGTACAAAATATGTCTGTGATATATATCAAATTCAATATTCGAACTTCCAAAAAGTTTAAGATATAAGCATAGAAAAATCATTCTCGAAGATCCCTTTTACTTTTCAAACAACCCAAAGATACTCACAGTTCCTTCGGGGTCGCATTCAACAAGTGCTACGGGGCGCTCGTCAACGCCACCCTTTAATGCGTCCACTAGAAACCGCCCTTCGGTTCCGTTTCGCCTAAAAACTTCTGAGGATTTCACACAAATTATAGAAAATATTAAAGGCTGTGGCATACATAAACAGATAATCCACGTCATCAGGAGTGTTTGGAACAAAAACAGAACACTTGTTGTCGTCGGTACATGCATATATAAGACGTTTTGAAAGACATCCCACGCGATTTATAGAAGGACCGACCTTAATTAATGACATCTTTAAAAATAGGTGAAAAACGAGCATATTATAAACGTCGTCAAAAAGTAACAACTAACCGAACAAGTACTCTGCAAAGCATCATCCTCTTTTGAATACGAGACATTGATAATATTGAGCAATCCATCCGATCCACCTGATAATAGGTGCTGCCCATCTCTCATAAATGCCAAAGCATTGATGGAGTCAGAATGAGATTCCTTTAAATGAATTCATTACAAAAGGTCAATTCTTCTTCGGCAGTGAAACATTTAAGTTAGACCAAACATGAAGAGAACTATAGTTTTCTATTCAACTATGAACGCTAATGGCGAAAGCTGCACTGACTTCGTCTCAGATTTTTATCAAATGCTACAAAACCTATCCGACCACCAATAATCCAAAAATCTCGGTCATTAATTTTTAAACATGAGGACGGGTAGACTTCTGAATATGGGCTTCTGGTAGTGTTGTTGTCATCGTTCGACGACATTGATAAATATCATTCGAGACTTTGTTCGACTAACCAGTTTATTTAGTTGCAGAAAAGGTGGCACACTAATAGACGCAATAAGTAGACGGAATGAATTTCAATGTATGTGATTATGGCTAATATTAAGAACAACAGATGGGGATATATTGACGTAAGTATTATAATAAGCGTATGTTAATAGTGTAGATTTCGAAGCGCCCGTGTAATTGGGGGTATCCTCCTTGGAAATTTGCGGTTAGAAATCTATCATTCATTCGGAAAAGAGTTTGGGCCTGACTTTATAAAAGGGAGAAGGGAAGCCCCTGTAAGCTAGGCGACTGATCCTACTATATATAACGCGCTAAGTGTGTCTGTTGGTTTGTCTGTCTGTCCGTGTGTGTGTGTGTGTGTTTGACCGGAAATTCATAACTGCGGTTCCCATGGACCTAGAGGGTTCAAATTTGGCAGGAGTACAGGCGGCAAGATGGGAACACTTATGGTGGGCGGCAGGACCGGACTCCTCCCACAGGAGGCGGGGTTTGTGCGAAATGAATGATTGAGCGGAAAGTCATAATTTCTGTCCCCGTGGACCTAAAGCGCTCAAACTTGGTAGGAGGACAGGCAGCAGGATAGGAACACTTATGGTGGATAGCTGAGCCGGACTCCTCCCACAGGAGGCGGGGTTCGTGCGGGAAATCATAACTCCAGTCCCCGTGGACCTAGAGCGTCCAAATTTGGTAGGAGTACCCTAGATAGGATGGGAACTCCTATAATGGTTGGCAGGATTAGGCTCCGCCTACAATGGGCGGAGTTTGGGCAAAAATTCATAACTTCTGTCCCTGTGGACGTAGAAAGTTTAAGTTTGGTACGAGCACAGGCGGCAGGATGGGAACATTTATGGTGGGTGGCAGGACCGGACTCCGCACACAAGGGGCGGAGTTTATGTGGATAATTTTAATTTGGACCGAGAGCGTTCAAATTCGGTATGAGTACAGGCGGCAAGATAGCAACACTTATGCTGAGTCGCAAGATCGGACTCCGCCCAGAAGGGGCGGGCTTTGTGTGAGAAACTTAAACTTGGACTAGAGCGTTCAAATTTGGTATGAGTACAGGCGGCGAGATAGCAACACTTATGCTGAGTCGCAAGACCGGACTCCGCCCACAAGGGGCGGAGTTTATGTGGATAATTTTAATTTGGACCGAGAGCGCTTATATAATTAACAGAAATACAAGCGGCAGGATGGAGGCACCTATGTCGGCC